AAACCACACGTGGCCCCCAAAGAGCCAGGCTCCTCCACATGGCAAGCAAGAGCCCAGGCCTGTCCTGGCCGAGTGACTGGAGACAATGCTGGGTCCATGAACCCCAGTGTCCTCGACCTGAAACTAAGGAGAATGTACTAAAATAAAGCAGAATAAAGTGGGGTGGGGAGGGGAGATAAATTCCACTCTATTGCCTCTAAAATGGTAATGCTATTAAATGTTCTGCTGTCTTCAGGCTGTTTGGAAGAAAGGTTGAGATAGTTTGTGAAAATGCATATCACACTACCCATCCACTTTCCAAATGCCGGTGCCCTGGGTTCCCCTCCCCTCAGAGCACTATTGCCACAAACAATGTTACAGTGAATATATAGACAGAATCTGTGGGAAATTTCCCTGCAACATACATAATACAGGTGGTGACTCTTAGGTATTGCTGAGTGATGTGAGTATGTGTGTCACCTCTGCTAGGTTTTTTACTCTCATGATGGTACAAGAGGGTTCTTAAGTCCTTGTATCTCAGGGTTAACCTTCTAGTTTTGTCAGAATAGCAAAGGTGATGTCTTATTATTATTCTAATCACTTCTTTTATTATTAGTGATTTTCAGTTTGCCAGCTTGGGTTTTTGTTTTTTTTTTTTTCTGTTGTATTTCTGTCTGCCTGGGTTTTTTGTACTGGGTTCTGCTTCATTTATAAGCAGGTGGTCCTGGGACTGGACTCTAATGCAGTACTCCTGTGGCTGGAAACACCATCAGCTGTCCCTTTCAGAGTTGCTGTAACAGCCCCTAACTGCCTTCTGTGTTTGCATCCCTGAATCCTAATTCAGCATAGCAGCCAGAGATTTCCTTGTAGCGCACAACTTCATGTTGCTGCTCTGTCCAAAACCCTCTAATGACTCCCTGTTTCATTACTCAAGGCATACATCAGGCATGCTGCCATGCATGAAAGAAATGTGTGGTGTAATACTGTGTGTGCTAATTAAAGTCACGTGCCCACAAAACTACAACATAAGCTTTACAAAAAGGAATTAAAACACATGTCGAATACATCCTTATGGTGCCTACGAAGGAGAGGAGGATTCCATGTGGATAAAATGGCTCAGTTATTCAGATTAGTGTTTATAAAGTGCTATAAGCAGATAAATTAAATTAACTCTACCTTCTACATCCCTTGGAGATGTCTGGTATTTATTT